ACGCGTCCCAGTCAGCTCGTTGATAATAGAACGAAGTTCTAGTGGTAGGAGGTTCTTTATAGGGGTGGAGTTAAAGGAGATGTTAACGATACTACTGCATGATCAGAGTTACAAAAAAAGGGCAGAGTTGCGAGGCACTGCAGGATTCGGGGATGGAGGTAAAGCACAGGTCGAGAGAGAGGCTTTACCTTCCCGGTTGAAGGCAAAAAAAGTGGGGAAGTTAACTATCTGTGTGAGGGAATGGGAGATTGAAAAATTAAGCGTTTGAATGCCTGCATGGTCAGTAGTAGCATTCTTAAGCCACAAGGTGTGATGGGCGTTAAATCTCCAAACACAAAAAATGTGAGCAAACGGGTGGAGGGAGAGATTTATTGTCTATGTTGTCAGAAATGCTATCAAGTATCTCACAGTCTTGAGAGGATGGAGAGCGGTAAAGGAAGAAGAGATATCTTACCGCATTGAGGATAGAGAGTCGGAGACACATGTATGATTGGTCAGGCGATTCGAGAGAGGACTCTCTTTCCAAATCTTAATTGCATATTACCCAAGCCAAAGTGGTTGGTGAGGGCTGAGGATTCATTCCGATGATTCCTCACCCCCACCCCAACCAGGTCGACGCTTGGACACAAGGTAAAGTATATTCAGTCACCATCATCATGACGATGTAGACAGTCATTTTTTGTTGCCCCATCAATGAAGTATCATTTCGCTCTAGCAGAAACCATTTACATTTTTCATTTTTTTTTGTTTTGTTCTTTTCGTTTTTAAATTTTTGAGGTATGACATGAAAGTACATAAAAACGTATGCCACTGAATTCATCTATGCTGAAAAGTGCATCTTTAACATTTCCAACGCTTGCTGGACAAATAAGGAAAATAAAAAAAATTATGCGAGCACAGACGGGGGTAATTGTATTTAGTGAAAAATGGCGTCACTCACTAGTGAAGATTATTCTAAGCACAGTATCCAGGTTCCTGTTCATTGTTGACGAAATTTCATAAACAATCGTCGGAAATTTTGTAGCTGTGAACTTGCTTTATTCAACAGCGTTGTTATATCTCTTGTATTTGAAGAAGGTTTTCAGAAAAACACTTTGGTTTTATTTCTTTTTTGAAACGGCATACCAACCTGTTATGGAACTTACCCATAATAATAATAGACTATTCCTGACATTATAAATACTGCGCCTCTCAAGAGGTAAAACAAAAAATAAAAAGACGAGGAGAGATAATTGAGAGCATATTGAAAGGACATTGGAATAGTGATACTTGTCGAGACAACATATTTCCTTTCTAACCAAATCTGATAATCATTACTAATACTTCTACTTCTTTTTGTATTATATTTCTGTTGTAATATATCTTTGTTTTCCATACCTGTGTTCGTGTTATTCTTTCATTGGTTCTAACTTTGGACCATCACCGTGGTACAAGGAACTTGGGCCATAACACAACCTCAATGGGTTATTTAATGAACACACTATTTTTATTGTCGGTAATATTTTTTTAAAAAATGTGTTCCTGCTAATATTTTTTCTTCAAAAATGAATTGCTGGTAATAATTTTTTCTTTAGAAATTCATTGCAGGTAATAATTTTTTACAAAAATGTATTGTTGGTATTAAAAACTATTTTTACGCTTTCATAGTGTTTTGACCCCAGTTTCTGGGTTAACTATTTGCCAATAGCTGGGAACATAAAAGAGTGGAGCTGAGAACACCAGCAATTAAGAGGTGCTTCCACACTCTTCAAAACCTCTTGATCAAAATGTAGTTTATCATCTTACCCAGGATGGCAGAAAAATATGTTTGGGGCATTATTTTTAGAACGTAACCAATAAAGATGACTATACTATTGACCTCATCTTTGTTAAATATTAGATTATTTTTGATATTTTTATGATAAATATGGCAACAAGAATAAGGAAAATCAAATAAAAAAAAATAGTGTACATAATACCTCATCACAAAAATATATATGATGAAATTTAAAAACGTTGTAACAAATATGGCAACAGAGATGAGGACAATAGTCCGAATAATGTAAATAGTGTACATAATACCTCATCTCAGAAATATAGACAGATACTGAAATGCCGACATGTTGTAATAAATATGGCGACAACGATGAGGACAATAGTTCGAATAATGTAAATAGTGTACATAATACCTCATCTCAGAAATATAGACAGATAATAAAGGTGACTATGTTGAAAAAAACATTTTGCAACTGACAACTTTCTCAATCCAATAGTGTTATTATGCTCCTTGTAGCTGTTTTAGATTCTGTAGATTTGATTAATTGACTGGAGATAATAATGATTTACCCGAAAAATGTCTTGCTGATTGAACAATAGTTGGGAGAGATTAGGTGGATCTATATCTTTTTGGCGCCTAATAAAACGATTGGGATTGAAACTCGACTGTCCGATTTCTTATTCCGAGCTGTTATCCCTTTTACACCACCTGCACATCTAAACTTACAGCAGCAAATATTTAAAAAAGACTACCCATCTAAGTATTGAACAGGCTCAACATTGCTTAACCTTTATCAACGTACGAGAACCAGCGTTTCAACGTGATATAGTGATTTTCTAAGCATAACTTATGTGTGGCACAAGACCTAAAATATGTGGCACTCACTAAGGGTCGAACTCACTAATCGTTCGTAACTGTTCTAGCGAAACAATCTTGCTAACAATTACAACAGGGCGAGGTGCCTAAATGTCCTTCTAAGTGTAGCCTAGACGGGACATAACACCGAAAGTATTTCAACGCGCTATGGTTGGAAAGAAAGAACGAAAGCATTATTTTAGTAGAGCGTTTGTATGACTTGAGAAACATACACTTGCATAGGTAGACACGCGCACATGGATTTATACGTATCAACAATACACATACATTCATAAATAATACCTTCCACCACGTTGTTGAGTATGAACAACGAAAGATATCATAGCAAAATTCAAGTGTTACTTACAAATATCAAGAAATGCCTGGGCATGATTGTTTTAATGTTGAGAAACACGCTCCATTTAGCGGTTCCTAAAAGGAACAGCTTTTGCTCAAAAAGAAGAATCCTTAAAAATCATTGTCAAGACGAAGGTTTTGCATTAGAGCTTTCCTTCTCCTTATCGGATACCTTTGCAAAGAGTTCCAAAACTCCTAGTGGGCTTATCACGTACCTGAACACCAACATAGGTATTCCTACATCAGCGCGCCTATGATAATTAGCTGCTGATTCCGTGAAAGGATTCATCAACAATGTATGTCTATGTATTCACATATAGTTATATATATTTATCATTTTTAAAAGTTATTTTTAGTGGATATCTTGAATAGACTCTCTCTTTATTTTAAACTGTATTTGATTTTCGTTTACTGGCATGGATTTTCGAGAAATCCTATGACATAAAGATATACCGGAGGGCGAGTATTTTTAATTTAATAAAATTAAATTTGATGTGTTTGAGCGCGCGTGTGTACGTGTGTGTGTAGGTGCATGCAGTTTTGGTTGAAGTTTAAGCTTTTTTTTATGTTTTCTTCGTTTTATATAACATTTCTGGTTTCTATCAATTTTTCTATCTCTATTGAACGCCCTCGGCTTTTAGAAGAATTTATGTTCTGGTTAATATCGCTACATATTGTGTTTCTGAAACGCTTTTCTCCTGTCATGTCCTAACGTATCAGTAGATGTCATATCGATTTTTTTTATTGCGTCTACACGCATCGTTTGCAATGTAATTAATTTTGGCATTTTTTTTTACCCCTAAATTGAATGAAATTTTTTGATAGCGTATTGTTTATATAGGTTTCAGTATTTATAGTCGTTTTTTTAAGAGTTTTGTGATATAGTATTTTTTATTACTAATAGGGTTTTAAAGTTTCTTTTAATCATTTCATTCCAAGCAAGGCAATAAAGCCACTAAGACTGAGTGTCAGAGTATATGAGAAATAAAACACTGTTAAGGAGAGAAAATAATAAAACTACAGGAATTAAGAAAATAGAAGATAATGATTGATATTGCAGTTACATTTTTAAAGATCAAAGTTCACTGAAAATTAACAACCTGTAAGAGAATTCCCCAAGCGAGAAATGCGAGAGAAGAAACTGTTAGCATAGAACTTACGGTATTGCGCTTAGATTCATGAAGTCTAAGTAATATAGAGGAAAAATTACCATGAGACTGTTTCTAGAAAAAGCCACATGGAAGCTACGATATGGCGGTGTTAAAGTTACTGAAGCCGAGATGACTGGTTAGGACCAATAACATTGCAGATTCCTCTTTAGATTATATCAAATATCTTTATATATATATATATATATATATATATATATATATATATATAGCAGGCGCACAACACCAAATGTGGCAGCAATATTCAAAGCAAGAATGAATGGTAGACTTATAAATATGTAAGATAGATTCTATAGAGACAGTAAATCAACTATTTGTCGTGGTTTTTAATATGTGGTTTTACTTTTTATTGGATAACAAGTTAACCGTCACGATGATATAGTGGATACGTATCCAATGTTAATTGAATTATTACTAAGTGAATTCGTAGAAAACATTAATTTGTGGAAGTTTTAATTATCTTTGTGGTAATCATGTTAGAGTTTTTATTTACTTAATTTAATAGTAAGCGATGACTTTTATTTATTTATTTATTCATTTTTTGTATATGGGATCTGCATCTGTGTATTAGGCGTCTCCTTTATTTCTACTTTATGCCTACTGGATTCTGTAGAATAGTGAAATGCTGCTTTTTTTTATTTTCTTAAAAGAATTTTTTCTAAATTTTGATATTTTGTAATTTGATCAGATTTGGAGGAGTAGATCGGATTGAGGACATTTCAGCATTCCCTCTCAGATAGATAGATGAATAGATAGATAGATAGATAGATAATAAGATCAATAGATATTAGGTAAAAAATTGCAAAAATAATGACGTAAGAATGTCGTTTTTGACGTTAAAAAATACGTCAAAAACGACATTATTACGTCATTATTTTTTGCACCAACCTAATAGATAGATAGATAGATAGATAGATAGATAGATAGATAGATAGATAGATATGAAAAGAATGTGATAGATAGATAGATAGATAGATAGATAGATAGATAGATAGATAGATAGATGAGTTAATTTTTGTTATATTAAAATTGTTGCAACAACTATCTAAACATTGAAGAGACAAAAGTGAAAGTCTGAAACTGGCAATTTTAGAGCCTACACAGCATGCGAAAGAATTTCCCATCCTCATGTTCACTTTCAAGATTCTATTCTGACATTATGCGGCGGCGGCGGTGGCGGTGGCGGCGGCGGCGGCGATCGCATCTGGAAAGGGAACGGCTAATTCAAGATGACGACGACGAACGACATATGAAGTTACGTCGCTGGGGTCAAACCGAAAGAGATGCCTGCGCAGAAAAACACACTCTCACACTCTTTCTATTCTCCCTCTCTTTCACGCTGACACACACAAAGACACACGCACAAACGCTTGCACTGAAATTACTGTCCAATCTTTTTAAGAAAGAAAATAAAAATAAGAGATGTGATATTTTCTCCATCTTTTCTTCGTATTTTTGTTTTATATCCGTCGTATGTCCACTCCCAGGAATTACTTCGTGAATTTTTTTCTACCAAAACGATGTATCTCTCGCAGAAAAGTCATCTCCCAACGACACCTCTTTCAAAGTCTTCATTGTACTGCCAGGACTTTGACACACCAAGTCTACTCCAGAAAAAAATATCAATAAGAACACTAAACGATTTTATCAAAGAATTACTTTTATCCTTTCTTTTTAAGGAAGAAAGTTCTAGTGAAATAAATATACGAACCTAAGTTGTTGAATTTACCTCGAGGTCATTTTATTTATTTCGTAGCTTTGTAACTCTAATGTTTAAAAAAGTTAAAAAGAGAGTGTTGAACATTTCTTGAAATGACCAGAAAGCTATTCCCCCCAAAAAAAACAAATATGATGTTTCATCATTACAGTCAGATTTCCGAAAGTGGTCGGGCCGATAATTCCTATGTAAAGAAAAATAATAAACATTTTTTTTTCACTAAAGCTAGTAATAAAAAATAAGAGCAAAACATTCAAATTATGACCTACGAGCAATATTCCTTGTATATACTTTTTTTAAAGTAGTAACTAAATACACTGTTTTAAAACAAGACTTTCGTTTGAAAATTTGGCCAAAACTGAATTCATTACAGTCGGGCCTCCGTATTAATTCACCATCTTCAGGGATGCAGAAAGTTGAAAAGCGGCAAATATTCATAACCCCGACTTAATACTTCATACCCTTGACAATATTTAAAACATTTCTCATTGAAAAATTTTGGATTAAAGAGTGGTATGTGTCTATTTTTTATGTCTTATAAAGAAACAACTCCGTGCTTTAAAAATATGTTTACACTTTAATTTTTATTCTTGACTAGCAGTAGAGCCCAGCGTTGCCCGGGGATGTAACAGTAAGAGATAGATCAAGTATCGACCATCATAAAGACTGAAAAATAAAATTGACAAAGATTATTGTTTAAGGACACGCATGTCTTAATTAGTTTTTTTTTCTTGTTTTTTTTACAAATTGGTCAAACCCAAACTCAAACTAAAACATTGTTTTCAATTGTTATAAGTCTGCCGACTGAATAGAATTTTATTATAAACAATTGTCTTGTAAATGGAATTTTAAAAGCATTCTGAATGTAAAAATAAAGAAAAAAGTGTGCAAGACAATAAGAAACACTACCTGCAAAAAAAGTGAAGTTTTTGTTGAAATCGGTTGAAAATGTAGGAAATCCGATCCCATATATAAACGAACACACACACACACACACACACACACAAACAACCTGGGTTTTATAATAAGTATAACTCGATATGAGTTGTCCCCCTTTCATTCTGGCGACAGAATTGTATTTTATCGTGTTTTCAAATTGATTTCATGCAAAAACAATTGTGTTTTTCCAAATTTTGGCACTGTCAGAACCACCACAAGGTAATTTTACGCAGTCCTGTGAAGTTTCGTTGAAATCAGTTGAAAAATGTAGGAAATCCGATCCAATATATAAACGTACAGACACACACACACACACAATCTGTATTTTATAATAAGTAAGATGACGACATGAAACGTTCCGTTGACAGTTTAATTTGAACATTTAAATTAAATCTTTTAAAAAAAAATCTGAGAAAATAGAATGAAAGAAAATAAATAATTGAAAAATAATTTACTGGATTTTGAAACAAATATTACTTTGGTGCTGGTCCCTGTTTTCCTGTCAGTTCAACGTAAAAATCCTCTTTAAATATTTTAAAGATATATGAAAGCATTCGTCAGGAGACTAGAATCTACTGAGGTGTTTAGAAAATCCCTATTGCAGGATCATTCTCATACACATTTGTGTTGGTTCACCAACAACGGAACAAATCTGTGGTTTCTACTGATGATGACAGGACCTTAGTTAGGGTTTCTGCTAGAGAAGTCAGCGTGATCAGTAGTTGAGCAAAAGGCCAGTACGCTGAAATCTTCTGTCAGGGTTTGGGACTTTGTTCTAATGCAACCTCTGACATCTACTAATTTCACTCACAAGTCTTGGGTCAGGCTTAGGTGTTGGGTTTGATTTTTCAGGTATTTTCCTATTGTGCCACGTGTCTTTGAAAAATCAACCATAGTGTTATTCGAACCCGAGTCTCATGGTCGGACTGCTACATTTTTCATCACATGGCCCCGGCCTCATCCTTATAAAAAGTTGGTCTAATATATTGCACATCTATGATAAATGAAAATAGACGTAATGGTTATTAGCAAGAACAATGGAAAAAGTGATCAGAGATTAAATCCATGCCTGTTCCTGTTTGGTTTCTTTCGCAATAATTATTTTCGGAAAAATATAAAACCATCACTTTTGACTTCCCAGAAAATGATAAAATATCAGGACCCATTGGACTTCCACGCCTTCAGCCGTAGCCAGAAAACAAATTCCGAATCGACTCAGATATCTTGGAACACAAACAACCGCAGGCGGAGGGGGGGTGATTGATTGATTTAGTTTGTTTTTATGGATTATCAAATTTTCCAGGTTACGTGATAGATAGATAGATAGATAGATAGATAGATAGATAGATAGATAGATAGATTGATTTTTGTATAGTAAGAATTTTTTGGAGAGAAGATAATGATTTACTATTAGGGTTCCTACAATTTAACTCATGGCCAAGGGAAAAGAGGTAGATTCATAACTTTCCCCAAGAGGAAGGGAATATAACAAACCCAACTGGAATTGGAACTCGGCTCTCTGATTCCCAATTCTAAGCCGATATCCATTACACCAGCCGCACATCCAAGTACATCTTATTCATAAGCGGTCCCTCATCTAGGAACTGACCAGATGATTACTTTGCTGATCGTATGACAACGGGTTTCAACGAGATATGACCGTAAACCTAACAAGGAAAGCAAGAGAAACGATTTCATTAAATGTAGGCAATTAGGAATTGTCTAGGTTGCATCTTGTGTGTTCCTCTCAGCGGATCTATCGTTCAAGAGTGGAAAGATAATGACACTTTAAGCAAAATCCCAAATTACAAATGACACACGAAAAGCAAATATTGCTTTTACAATATTTTCATTATCACTGCTATGACCGTTTGAATTAGGAAGTTACAAATCAATTAAAACAAAAGAATTTTGAGACCGAATGAATAAGGTTTGGTAATGCGTCAGTCAATAAAGGACAATTCAAAATTATATCTTTACTTCCAATGCAATAAATGCAGTGAAACTAAATTGACTAAAATACTAGTCAAGAATGAATAAACAATCGTTCATCTAATAAAAATTCCAGATAGTATTACTGATACTAATTGAACTAGTGGAAAGAAATCAACAGAAATTAACGTGAAAGAAATACTACTAAAATGAATAAACATTGATAATGTGTTATCAAATAATAAAAATTCAAAATAATGTTTCTACGAATAATACGAAAATATCCGAGTCAAGAAATAAAAATTGGTTGAAATTCTTCCCCGATACTAAAAGTTCAACTTAATACTACTACTAATAATAATAATAATACGACTAGTAGTAGTAGTAGCAGTACTACTACTACTACTACTACTAATAATAATAATAATAATGATATCCTAAATGATTGATGTAAAATGAAGCTGAAAGAAATGCAAAAAACAATTTCATCCGTAATTCACATTTCTTTTGATTTCCTTCTTTTTCATTGAAAACTTTTTCGTATTGTCATTCATTTTTTTTTTTCCATCTAGATGAGCAGACCTAACATACGAAGGTGTTTCCATCTTCTAAAATGATGTCCGAATACAGTTATCAGATGCGCATGCGTATATATAAAGAAAGGCAGTAAAATGAAAGGCGGATATGGTGATGGGAAGCAAGAGAACTCTTAGATAAGTGAGTCGAAGGAAACAATGAAAGGCCATTAATTGTTAGAAGAAGGAATTCATGATGGCGAACAAAATGGACAGAGATAGACGACGATTTTCTCATCCGTTCAGACATTGGGATTCAACAAAAGGTAACTGCTGTAGTGCAATATTTAACAAGTTTCTTTTGCTGACCAGTTGGTAGGGTAAAACTTAGTCGATTCTCTACTAATGTGAACTTTTACTCGTCGTCTTTTTATTTGTCTATGTTAATAAAACTAATTCAGAACAGAATTATTTGCGTCATTCTCAATATTGTCAGAAGTCGGTTCTTGAGCCCAGGTAAAAAGACAGGGTTAAGGAAGTTGATTATACTTTTCAAAACTCCAAAATTTTCTCAGCTTGAAAGAATGGCGCTATGCAATCTTCCTTTCACATAGTTACCGCGGACGTGTCAGTGTTTCGGAAATAATAAACATCGTTTGGTCAGTTAAAACATCGCAGTAATTACCACATCTCGAATGCGTCAAACGGAGAAAAGTTTTTAAAAAGTGGACCACTAAAGCGGAAATTAAGGCCTTAACGGATAAAGACTAAAAACAATTTATTAATCGCTTCTATAATATTTGATATCCATTCATCTTGTCAAATGGGTGTCAGAGATAGCTCTTCGAGTTCAGATAAAAAAAATCAGAATTTGATATTGATAATATTAAAACACGTAGGATCTTCCTAACTGGCAGATTGGTGTCATACAATCTTCCTAGATATGCATTCTTTCACTGCTTTCAAACCATCAATTGCATTTCACTGAAATTGACATGATTGATTAATGCCTCTGCAAAATCGTTTACGCTTGGGAAGCTGACCATCGTAAAGCGTTGTCTAAAAGCTTCGTTTAGTGAATAATTTCGCCCGATTTACACTGAGTATCTTTCTGCTGTTTGGCTTTTGCTCTGCGGATTAGTAATTAAAGTGGTCAGGATTTCGAACCAAAGTCCAAATCAAAAAGCTTTCTTTAAAAAAAAGGTCATTACTTTGAAATTAAGAGATACACAGTCTTTCACGTTCACTTTTTATTTCATTAACTTCACACTTGAGAATAAATCTGAGAAAACTTGGAGGCATTTTTTAGGCATTTTACCACAAGGAAGGCGATAAAACCATTAGGACACAAAAGATTATTGAGAGCGACAGAGAACATTAAAAGACCAGCCTTCAAGGAGAGAGATGCTGACTGATATTAAAGTTAAATCAGTTATCTCCTGTTAATTTCCCTCTGAAACACATGGCACAGTGGATAAAGGCGTTAGTTAGATCCAGTGACAGGACCCAGAGAGTGTAAGTTCAATACCCGGCTAAGGCAGTGGGAAAATTTCAGAGGGAAATTAACAGGACACGTGGAACTAGAACAGTCTACCCCAGTGAGCGAAATAAAGGGTTCAGTTCGACATTCCAACCACCTGAAGAAGGCCTTAGCGTACAACGGCCGAAACTTTGTGATAAATATGGCGACACAGATGAGGAAAAGAAAAACAGGAAGAGCATTCCACTAGTGCAAGAGAAGAAACAGTGAACATAGAACGTTTAAATCTAAGAATTTCATTAGTAACATAATGAGACCAACCCGCTAATCGAGTACTGCGCTCAAATTTATTAAATCAAGGTAACAAAGTGCGAAGATCACGAGAACATTTACCATGGACATATTTATATAAAAAAAACTGTAGAGTTGCGTTATGCAGGTGGAAAAATGTCAAAGCTTTAAATTACAACATTGCAGGTTCGTTTTTGTATTGTGTCAAATAATCTCCAGATATATAACAGAAGCATCTGATTACATATGGCAGCAAACAGTGCACTGACGAATGGTCGACTCGTAAAAATACAATAGAGATTCTGGCGATAATTGTCTAGCACGACACAGTGCACCAACTTTTCTAGTAGCAGACCTAGCACTTCATTCAATATAATCGTTCCATTTCATACCAGTGAAAAAATTCAGTCAGAGATTTTACACGGTAAGGACTCGTGAGTATCGTAATATAAAGGTAGTTCGGCAGTTCTCTCAACTTCCATTATTAACGGTATATATGTTTCCCGTCAGTCTTTTTCTTCGTTTATTTTCCTCAAAAGTGAGTTAGTTTGATATGGCAATTTTTCCTTTTGCAATATTATCGAGAAAATTTCAGCATCTTCAGTGACAACGTGTCACAAATGCAAGGAACTGGTAGACAATTATGAAACATTAAAGCTACTCTACAGACTAAATTACGTCATTGGAAATCAGGCATTAATGCCAAGAATGGTCAAAGGAATAATGAATGGAAGCTATGACAAAAAGCATTAATTAAAATTGTTTGCCGCTTAAGAGATTAATTGGCAAAAATGTTTTCTTTCGTTTTTTTTATGTGAATATTGTAACAGAATTAAGTTATCTAAATAATTGTCTGTTTCGTGGCCTGTGCCGTTGCTTATTTGTCACCAGTGACAGAGAGAGGCCTCAGAGCCCAGATAAAAAACTACATTTTCAATTCTTCAAGTCATCGATTAGTCAATTAGATATAAATTTAGACCGGGTGTAATTAAAAGTCTCTAAACTTAGCTGAGTTTTTAGCGCACTAAAATTCATTCTTACTGAAACAAAAAGAATAATCATGGTGTTGTACATGCCAAACCCAAGATGCGATAAAATATTTTCTAACTAAATGCATTGGTGTTGACACTAAAAAAAAAAACACAATTTTTTCAAACAGTTTGAAATGAAGTACTGGAGAATATTAAAATAAATAAAATTATAACATTCCTGAAATCAATTGGATTATATCTGAAAATATAAAAATCGAAGATTACCCATTTTTCATAAATATATACCAAAATTAATCAGTTTTGGTAGAAAATGATTCTAAAGGGTTGACATGACATTAAAATTCCACTTGAACTTTTTAACACATTGAATAATTTTCATTGATTAATTTCTTTCTACTGCTTATCCACACTTTGCGGCTTATTTAAAGCCAGAAATATTTTTAGATTGTATGAATTTATTTTGGAGACAATAACGATTTAGTGATACCAATGTTACTTAATCCTCGCTTGCATGCATTATCCGTTGGTATACTAAACTACTCTCTCCACTCATGTTTTTTGTAGTATCTCCTTCGCAAGTGTTTGATTGCTCTTAATAAATAAATTCCATCGATAAAACCTTCTTGTGTGGTTGATGCTCGATGTTAAATATATATTCAGTAAATCTCCTATGGCCGCAATAATCTTCAAATGGTATGGCATTGTTCACAAATGTAATAGTCAAACAAAAACAGGGATGAAGCGTCAGTGCTTGATTCAGCTGCAAGTGCAGACGCATGAACGCCCCCCCCCCACACTCCTTCTTCGTCCATTTATTGTAAACCTGCGGGTAATAAGACGTCCTTCGGAAATTTTTCCCTTTTAACGCTTCAATAATCCTCAAACAATCTTTGCATCAAAGGTTGATCGAATGTCAATTTAGGATGGAATCATATGAAGAAACTATTGGCTAAATGACAAAAGCCGATTTTGGACCGAGTTTGTCGCAGATTTCGTTCACTTAACTGAAGTAATCTAAACTAAACATTCATGCAAGACAATTTGTGTGTCATATGCATTTACATTGCAAATTTGGAAAGCATCGAATGAAAAACCAGGGAGTTATGGCCGAAAGACTGGCTTTGTGAACAGTTTTTCGTGGTTATCGTTATACGTGGGGAAGCAAACAGGACTAAAACCAAACTTATTTCTATGATG